GCCTGGGGTTGAGGAAGACACGTACCACTCATAGGCGCGAAAGGGGATTTTTAAAAAAACAAAACAAAATCAAAGTCAAGGTTGGGGCATGTTATTTTTCTAATCATTAATGCCAAAATTAATATGAATTAATGTCAGTTATGTTGCATATTACCAAACTCTCGTGGCTAGTCTTAAAATGTTAAAGCCCTCAAAATTAAACTTTCTATTTGCTTCAAATATCAGTGCAGATTTACTTACATGGTTAGGTGTTTTACTTCTGTTTATAAACAAGATATCAACTCCTTCCACATTTTTTCTCCTTCCTCTCCTCTTTTTCACCGCAGGCTGATCATCGACAATTACTCCATTTGCACAAGCTATCGACTGGTTAGAAGTTCCTAACGAAATTGAACACAAAATGATCAATTGAAAAAACAACTACCACAAAACTGATCAAACTTCCGGACAGAACCTCTGACAGCAACAATACTCTTTGGTAGGCCTATGCAATTGATTTGGCAGTGGCTGTCTCAAACATAGAAATCTGAGTGCAGCATTTGTCTGCAAATTATCATATCAGCCCAGCCTTTTCCCAGGATGGTGTGACTGCTGCAGGGCTACTAATGATGAAAGACTACAAATCTAATTTAAAATTAACATTTTCAAAAACTATTTGTAGAATCAACTTTTACTTTTCTGGTTGTTTTCCGGGGTGCCAAGCTTGGCATGAGACTGAAATATAATGCCTGACTAGCTATTATGGGTGGATTAATTTGGTGCCTCTTAACCCTGGGATTTTTTTGGGGGTGGGGTGGGGATACATGCCAACAAGTTTGGTCCCACCAAGAAGGACTGTCTCATCACTGGCAATACTTGGCTGTCCTAGTATTGTGGCTTCTAGGTAGTTTTCTAGGTTGGTTAGTTTAGAAGCATGAGGACCCATACAGTGCTACAAACACTGGTAGGTCAAAAAAGAGGCCAGCATAGAAAAAGTAACCTTGTATCCCCCTTTTTAAAAAATCGTAAGTTAGACAGAAGACAGAAAGTAAAAGCTGGTGGCTGGCCACATGAAGGTATCTGAGAAAGTTCAAAGACATGTTAGCCTTGCCACCCAAAATAGCTCTGATAGGCACAGAGATAATAAACCCATTGACTGGCTACTTATATCAACACTGGAGAGCTTATCACAACAGCCAACCCCACTTTGGTATTCTGTGTGTGTGTGTGTGTGAAGTTGCAACACTTTATATTGCCCGAAACCGTCTATGAAAAACCAGTGAATCTGTGGAACATTCTCAAAATGCTACAAAGTGTTCGAAGCTATCAGATTTTATGACTCAGCTGAGCTTTTCTGAAGCATCCTTTTACAACTTTATAAAGCCATCCTATTAAACTAAAATGGCAATAAAAATTACAAACCCAATTTCTACCTAGCAACCCTGATAAGCTTTTGACCTCACCTGACTCTGGCAAAGACTTTGGAAAATTGGCAAGGCTTGTCTCTGAAGCATTCTGAAGTTCATGTAGCCTGGCGAGGTACTGTTGCTGTCCTAATAGGCCATCTTCACTTTCAAATGGCCTTTTCTGACAAAGCCCCTGCTTCTGAAAAATTAATTTCAAACCACCTTCCTGTTAAGGAAATACAAGAGTTAGCACATTTCTTTGGGGAGAAGAAAGTATTTTTACTGTTTAGGATTTATATACAGAATTTATTTCAGGAACAACTGGCCCCTCACCATCCCCACATGACAATATTAATAACTGCATTTAGCCAGTTTCAATATCAGATGTATTTGATAACTTTTATAAATATGCATCTAAAATGGAAATCCATAGATATCAAGAGACCAAGCCAGAAGAGGTTGTATTAATTAGCATGTTTTACCTGCTAACTTCAGTGTACAAACCTAATGAATTATGGAAATTATTCTGATCGTTTGCTAGGGGTATTTGAAATTGCAATTATTTGAAAATTCCCTTTTTCAGATAATTTTAAGATAAAGGACACCTTACTTTGGAAAGTAACTACAGCACCAGAAAAAGCATGAGAAAGGCCATTTGAGAAAGCAACTTATCAGCAAGACTTCAAAAGAACAAGAAATGAGGCTATGTTGTTGCTAGATCTTGAAAATGAGATTCTCAAAAGAGAAAAATACTCCAAAATTGCTGTTCCAAAATACCCACAAGTATTTATGCCAAGGAAGTAAGATTGAGAGCAGGCAGCCACTTGTAGGTAAAGCATGCTGCACACCGCAATCGCAATCAGGTCCTAGGGCAATAAAAATAAACATACGTCATTGATTTTCACTGTAAACTCCTTTTCCTGCACATGCTTCTTCACCTTTGACATCTGTGGTGATTGATCATTTTCTTCTTTAACGTCTGCGCTTGGAGGAGTTGGTACACTGCGCTCGCTGTAGTCTGCAGCAGCACCGGGGCTGTCTAGAAGCTTGGTGGTATAGAAGGAAGCCACAGCATTGCTCTCATAATTTCTCCTTGCCAAGGGCCATTTACCTTTCAAGACTGTTTGACAAATACTATCCAGACGATTAATCATAACCCGATCCTAAAACAAACAGCACACTGTTTAGAAATCTCAGTCCTCAGTCTCATAACTAAAGCTACTTGCAAATAATCAAAGTGTAACAGCAAACAGAAAGGATAACTCTGGATAGTTCAGATCTTTTAGAAGAAAATTCCTATTTTACCACAAAACTACCATAAGACAAATTAGAGTGTCTCCAGTCAAAATGACAGAAGCACATAATGTTACTATCCTTCCTTCCTTCCTTCCTTCCTTCCTTCCTTCCTTCCTTCCTTCCTTCCTTCCT